AAATCCTGTTCTTAAAGTGAAAGAAACCTCTCAATAATTAATCAGATCTGGATATGGGTTTTGGCACTGCTTGAAAGAGAATAGCAGCATATAGATGGTTTTGATGCTGTTGATTGAAAAACTCTGGTAGAATTTGTCACTTGAAAGCCCTTGTAAGGGTTGGCAAACACATAAGGGATTTATGCAGTTAATGTTATTTGATCACTTTTCTCTTCTCTTGCTATCTGTAACCCTTTCAGTTTCCTATAGTGTGAATTAGAATTTGAAGTATGCTCTTTAAAGGTTTCCTGTGTTCTAGGAAATAAATGAATATCTGTGAGGACAAATGGCATTGCAGTTGTTACATACTAGGAATTTTGAGTCAGTGATTCCCTATAAGACTTTTGCCTAGTCACATTGTGGCTCCAAGCAAGTTTTCTGATCTTTTACCCTGCTGCTTTTATTTTTAGCCAGAGATGTACAACAAGAACTTGTGCATCTAAACGTCTGTCACTTCTTGTGGAAACTGGTGTGCTGAAATACTAACTTCTTTTGTGGCTTTTCCACTGACACAGATCACCTTGATATATGTTGGCTGTGAATCCATTGTTCCCATCCTCTCTAGTACAGCCAAACTAGCCGGTGTTGCATACAGAATGTTCCTGTGTGAGTGTGGGAATTTAAAGGATTCTTAGCTCATTTGAGAGGCCACTGATATGAAGAGCCCTTCCTAAGGGCTCTCTTGATTGCCTAAGAGTGTGGTGATGATGAAGTCCAATTCTGTCTCCTTAGTGCACACTTCATCCCATTTCTTTGGCTCCCAATCTCATCCCTCATTTGTTCAATCTTTTCTCTCTTTTAAACATGCACTTCTTTATAGTTGATTACCATCTCCTGCGTAGTGTCTGCCTGCCTGCTATGTTGCTAATTCAGAACTAAAATTAATCATGGGTAGCATGTCATTTTTGTCTGCCTGGTTTGTCCTTGGTCATCAATTCTGGTTTTAACCTCCCCCCACCCCCATAAATGTATAAGGTGAGAATTATACAATGGTTTACCCCTCTACTTTTGTGCAGACAATATAGCAAGTGAAGAAATAAAAGAAAAAATACCTTCAATATTGCTCTTGTGGCTGCATTTATTAGCAAGTAAAACTACTTTGAGAGGAGGGAGGAGTTAGTGAATGTCATGCAGCACTTAAAGCAAATACTTTTATATTTATATGCAGATTAATCCTGGGCAGTTGCAGCGTGGATGAAATGCAGATCACAATAGAGGTTGATTTGTATATGTGTATTTTAAGTGAGTCTGCACACAATGTTAGTTTTGAGTCATGGCTTTCAGAATAAAGTGCATAATTTATAGTACTTTTGGTTGTAGTTTTATGATTGGTTTATCAGACTTTCCCAGTTTTCATAGAATGAAATACCATATTTTTGGAATTGTGAAGGTTTGGTTTAGATCCTACAGAAGAGCTTGGTAGAGGAGTCAGAGAGGATCTTTCCTCACCTTCCCCTAGCAGCATGGAGGCTGCCCTCAACAAATCCTACGTTTTGGGGGGTCCTTATGAACAGAAGGCAATGCACAGCACAGGGAGCTGCAGTGAGGAGGAGGGGATCAGGCAAAATCCTTCCCTTCCCCCTGCACCAAGACAAGCCATTAGCAGAAGAGGGGCTGGTTTTTTTCTGATTTATCCCTGCTTACTGCAGCCTCTTTTGTTCACAAAAGTCCCTCAACCCTCACAGTGGATTTTTGAGAGAAGCAGTTCACTGCCAGGGGAAAGGAAACTGAGGGGCGCTCACTCTGCTGATCCTTCTGTGAGTTTTTCTGCTGAATTGAACCCCTCGTACTAGGAGCATGGGATGTGTCTATTTATTTATTCACTATTTCCTGGGCTATTTTTGGGCAGGAACGCACAGGAATGGAGTTCCGTCTGGCTTCAGAGTTGGCCACACCCACTACAGCCAAAACCTCTGCGTGTGTGCCTACAGAAGAAAGGCCTGGAGAGCGACCCCCACCCCCGGCGACTCCAAGGCGGGTGAGCCAGGGGAGGCCCTGAAAGGATTGGGGAGGCATTTAAATGCCTCCCCGTGCCTTCCCTGGCCTGTCCAAGGGCTGGCTTGACCGGGCTCCCCGCAGCCACGGGGCACCCAGGCAAGCCATGGGAAGGAAATTTAAACTGCCTTCCCTTCAAGGGAACACATGGGGCTGTGGTCTAATATGCTAATGAGCTGCACTGTCATGGGTGTGGCCTAATATGTTAATGAGTTCCTGCTGGGCTTTTTCTACAAAAAAAGCCCTGACTATTTCTAATCTACCTTTCTTAGAATGACACTTTCAGAGCTGGAACAAGACAGCACAATAAGTGGGGTGGAATGATTCTGCAGGGAAGGAAGGCTAGCTGAGGGCACTGAAAACTAAGCTTGCATTGTACCTTTACACTTTGTCTTCAAATGTCCTTGTCTGCTTCAGTGCCTCCACTTATCTCAGGACAGTGCTACAGAGCTGTTTTGAATCAGAGTTAAGACCATGAGCTTGAAGGCTCTGCTTCAGATCTCAGCTGAGCCACAAACTCCCTGGATAGTCTAGAGGACAAACTAGAAATTACTGCAGCATGACTCATGAGCTATAGTGCAAGTAATTTTGATTTCCTGTCAGAGTGTGTGTTTGCTTTTTGGTGAGTATTTGTGCTTGCATGTGTGTGTGTGTCTGGAAGTCTTCTGGTGACCCCTAGTGGGGCTTGGACATTTCAGCGAGGTGGCTTATTATTGCTAGCCTCTGCATCCTGGCCCTGGTATTCCTTGGAAGTCGGCCCTGCTTAGGTTCTGAGATCTAATGAGATCAGGTTTGCTTGGACTATCCAGGTCAGGGCTCCTGTGAGAATGTTGAAGAACACATTTAAAGTTCGTCATGGTTGGACAGGAGGTAGATGTCAAACCCTGCCTTTCTCTCCCTTACTCATCCAAAACCACTTCTCTCTAGCTGTCCCCCCCCCCACACACACACACTAGTGGGCTTTAATGGGAAGTAACTCCCACTAGGTAAAAACCAGCTGGGCAGAAGGTGATGAGGGAAAAAACATTGGTGTGGGGGAGGATTTATTACCTCTGACTATCCATACTGTGATTTAAATCTTCCTCTCCCCACTTTATATGAAATCAGTATAATTTAAACTGTGAAATGTGGGTTGTGTCACCTTAATCTATAGTTATGTCCCTGAGGTATCTAGAAAGGTTGCAACTGAGCTGAGATTTGCACCAAGGCTAGAAGTCTTAACCAGTAAACTACATCTGTTGTATAGAACAAACTGTGATGGTATGTGCAAAATCCTGACTGTCACACCTTTTACTTTTTAAAATCATTTTTTTAGCTGTTAGAGGTGTAGAGAACAGCTGTAGTTTTCTAAATGCTCAAAAGCCTGAAGATGTTAGTGAAATGTTTCTAGTCAAAGAGTCATCATCACCTTTTCTTATGCCACACAATGCCAGTTACTTCCCTTCATTTCCCCTGCTCCATGAATGTTGATTCCTCTTTCTTAAATGAAATTGTGCTGAAAACCCAAGTTTTTCCAGCTACAATAAATGAAGGCAATCAGACGTTTCTCACATTTTTGTTTGCATGATTAGGGCCTTGAAGGGGCACTTGAAATGTTAGACCTTTTAATGCAGCCAGGTTGTGGTTTTGTGTTTGCTGTATTTATTGATATTTCCCACCTGAATTGCCTTTATTGTGCCTTTAACAAATAGGGTTGCCAACCTCCTGGTGGCAGGAGATCTCCCACTAGGGAAAAATGGCCACTTTGGAAGGCAGACTCTTTGGCGTTATACCCCATTAAAGTCCCCTCACCTCCCAAAACCCCACTCTCCTCAGGATCCACCCCCCTAATCTCCAGGTATTTTCCAACCCAGAGCTAGCAACCCTAATTAACAAAGCAAAGAGTTGGCTATATTTTATTTCTTTCGTTTCAGTTCTATAGAATTGGTAAGGGTTGTTTCTGCTTCTTGGTACCATGCAGGAAGAAGAGTGCTCTTTCCAGTTTCCTAAATATATGCTTACAGGTTTCCTTGAGTTGAGTGGTTCATTTAATCTCAGCATACATGTATGTAGGACTGAACATAGGTTCTCTGACTGTTGCAACACTGCACATTGCCAGAGAATGGAAATTCTGATTCTTCTAGATCTGTACCACAATTGTTAGTAAGTTCTTTCTTCTTTACACTCATGAAATATTGATTGTTGTTCACAGAGAAATAGAAAATGATATATGGATTTTACTTAAAGGCAATTCATACTGTTTTAGATCAGATTTGGTATCATGTATTGTATCTTCCTTGAGTATCTGCTGTTGATCTGGAAAACTTGTGTTTGCCAAGATACACAAAATGATATTTTCTGGCACAGAAAATGAACAAGATACAGCATGATCTTAAATCTGCTTTGCTGTCGAATGGAGAAGTCAGCTGCAGGCTTCTGCCAACTCCTGCTCATTTGTGTGGTATCAATAAGATGAAGTGAATGAGATAATAGGGGTGTGAAAGAGCGTTGTCAGGATTTACCTCTGTTCTTAAGCCATTTCAAAAGACTAATATCCAAACAACCTCAACCCTTCTCCTTAAAGTTCAATAAATTTACCCATGGTTCAGTTGTGCCTCAAGAATTTAAAACAATCTGGAGTGAGTCTTAATGCCAGCCCAACTGGCGCTAGGTCTACTTTAAATACAAAGCAAATGGAATCATTTACATATGGCTGAGTACTTCATTCAGTTTTGGATCATTCTAAGCCAGTCAAAAACACAGAACTTGGCTGTTTATCTGGAAGTTTTTTTCATGCTGAACAGGAAATTTTCCGGAGCCTTAAGCAAATGTTGGCTCTAGAGAGATGGCAGTAGAGGCTCTGGCTGTGGTCTGTCTTTGTTGCACAATTCAAAGGCACACATTCTTGTCAGTGTTAGAACTCTTATCATAAGAAAGCTCTTTTGCAAACCTAAATATCCTTCTCCTTGTTCTTTTTCTCTCCCCAGGATTCCACTTGAGTGGTACTGTAACCGAGCCTGCTACTGCAACAGAACCAGAAATGACGTACAAAGTGGCCATTAGTTTTGACCGGTGCAAAATCACTTCTGTGACATGTGGTTGTGGGAACAAGGACATTTTTTACTGTGCTCATGTTGTGGCACTCTCACTGTACAGGATTCGCAAGCCTGATCAGGTCAAACTCCGTCTTCCTATCTCAGAGACCCTTTTCCAAATGAACAGGGACCAGCTCCAAAAGTTTGTTCAGTATTTGATCACAGCCCACCATACGGAAGTACTCCCAACAGCCCAGAAACTGGCTGATGAAATCTTGTCCTCCAACTCTGAAATCAACCAACTCCATGGTAAGTTTTCCTGATTAAAAAACCACCTCAGATAAATCTCCAAAATGACATTGACACCCCCACTGAGTACCTTTTACTCAGTGGTAGCTTGGCATACTGTGTTTGTTTGTGTTTTGGTAGAAAATGCTTTCAGCAATCCTGGAGATCTCTGCACTTCCGATATTTTGACATGGTTGCATCATATTCCAGAGGGCATTTGCAGTAGGGTAAATCACTTTTAAGCTTTTTAACTGTGGTACTGGTCTTTAACTGGTCTGAATATTGATATTTTTTGTCATTGCAGTGTTCATTGTTTTTAACCACCTTGAGTTTGCAAAGATGAGGCACAATATATTTTAATAAATATTTTAAATAAATGTACATGGGAGCAGCCTTAATACTGAAAGCAGAGTGAAAGAAAAATGTGTCAGAAGTATCCATCTGCTCAGGGGCATGGGGAAAGGAGGAAAATCAGCCCCATGTCTAAAGTGGTCGTCCATCTTGTTTTCAGGCATCCTGCTTCAGTTACAGCAATAGATGGCTCTTCAGATAATTCCAGCTTTACAATGTGATCCCGTGAGCTGGACTGCCAGTCCAGGTTCCAGATGATGTTTGTACCTGTTCAGATCCTACCTTTTATCCACAGCCACTGAGGGTTTAATGTCCTATGCCTGAGAATGTTACAATCTGGTGATCTGTCAGATGCTGAGAGGCTGGCTGACTGTGATATTTTAAAAAGTTTCTATTAGTAGATATTTTTAAGTGGAGTGATTCTTTTTCAAATCCCTAAGTATAGGGCCCAGCTGATTATTTTGAGATGACAAAGCAGCAGATATTCATAGCATCTCCGATGAAACTGGCTATTGTTTCCTTTTCCCCCCCTTTTGGTGTCAAATACAAAGCATACAACCTTAATCCTAAAAGTCACACAAGACATGCTTCCCAGGGGAGGATTAAAGATAGGTAATACTTTGATTGATTAGGAGGAAACAAATCCTAAATCAATGACTTTCTTCTTGCATGCCATTATTCAGGCATGACTGAGAGGACTTGAGATGTATCGCCCATTCCTCTTAGTTGACTTGTATGTTAAATGTATTAAGGATCTGGGTTGTTAAATGTATTAAAGATCTGGGTTGCTGCTTACCAAGCCCCATGTGTCTTACAAACTTTATCAGCAATTTAAATATGAATTCATAGAGTCGCTGGAGATGCATCATGAGAGCACACTGCAAAATGTGAACATGTGAAGAAGGCATAATATCAAGCAAAATTATCCTTAGGGTTAATGAGGAATCTCACTGTTAAGTACTGAGGAAATCGGTTGGCATGACAGTTTATACATCTTTCAGTTTTCCCTGAACTGTAACCTGTGCAGTTGTTATTTTGAGTGTTTTTGTGCTATAGTTGTGCTTTCCTGAGTTAGGTCAGATTCTCAGACAAAGTTACATTTATGGGATCTGCCTCTTGGTTCCTGCCTGTCCTGTACATATGTTGGCAGTGAATGAATTTGGTATGGTTGTATGCAGCAATTGTGCTTCATCACTTTAGTTTTCAGAGGGCAGGTGGTGAGCTGGAGACGTGGCCTTGTTTGTTAGGGTTGCTCCAGTACTGGAAATTAGATATTTTATCTGCAGTATTTCATTCTACAGTTTGATTATCAATGGAACTCTAATGGCAACATCAATTTTACTGCTTTGTATCACTGTTATTGCTGTAAGGCTCCTTCCTTCCTTTCTCTCTTCAGTTTCCACTGTTTGGCTGTGGTTATTAATTACTCCTTATCATTTTCATCCATTGAAAAAAATTCCATTAAAAGGAGGGGTGGAGGCTCAGAGCCAAACTATTTGTTATGCTGGGAGACCCATTTAGTTGTTGTTGTTGTTGTTTTGTTTACTAAGTGCCATTGCATAAGATTGGTACCTTGATCAGAGAAGTGCTTTGTATAGGAATGTGATGGAGACTGTTCACTCCCTTTCATGTTCAGAATTTAATTGCCACTCTCAAGCTGCTGTTTGCTCTGCAGAGGGGGAATAGAGGTACTTCCATTGTGTGTGTATTACGCTTCTTCCATGTATAGGGGTGAGAGAGATTTAAACTAGGAAAATGTAACAGGGGGGAGTTAAACACTTCCATATTCTCTCTATGTTGTTTTCCTGGTCAAACTAACAGTCCCTCCCCCCCAGCATTTAATTTTTAAAAAATAAAGTAGTATTGGGAGATCAGTCACAGGTCTCCCAAAGTAAAGTGTCACTTGGCTCCTAGGTGAAGAGCACAGTAAATTTAAAACATGAACTTGCAAAGAAATCAGATGAATTATGAGTTCCCCAGCTGAAGCACTTTTGGTGTTGATTTAAGAGCTCTGTGACCATTGTTGGTGAAGTTAATCAATATTTTAAATATCCATCTCAAATTGCTTGCCAATTGACAGAACTGGACTTTCTTAAACATGATTTGCCGATTCGACTGCACTAAATTCCTTAGCAAAGTTGTTCTCCCAGAGATAGCTTTTCTCTTACTATAGTCCTCAGATCAAATATTACTAAGGTCTGTATCTGCCCAAATAATCAAGCATTTAGTAGTGTAAACACACACCTGACAGAGGCCAAGTTTGTCTTTTAGCTCTGGGTGGAAATGTTGTACAAGCCATTTAGAGCATCTTCTTCCTATGTGACAGAAAGGAAAGTTAAGCCTGTATCCTCTGCTTCCTCATTCCCCTTTAAAGATCCAAGCGGGTTGAAAAAGAAAATTAAATTTTCTTTGCATCCTCGTGAAAGCCAGAGTGATGTAGTGGTTAGAGGGTCAGACGAGGATCTGGGAGACCCAGGTTCAAATCCCCACTCTGCCATGGAAGCTCGCTGGGTGACCTTTGGGCCAGCAGCAGTTGAGTGTTCAGGTTGCATATTCTTTGTGGTGGCTCTCACCTCCTGGAAGGGCCTACCCGGGCAGTTCAGGAGTTTTATCGTTTTAACAGTTTTATCATTTAACAGAATGTGCAAAACAGAAATGTTCAGGAGGGCGTTTTTATAAAGGGATTAAAAGTTGTAATACTATCTCAGGAGGATCCCCTTTTATATGGCATAGGGTTGTATTCTATTGCAGTGTTTATTTTATGTTATCACCTTGCTTTTACAGTATTACCTTTGTAACCCACTTGCCTTTTACATTACCTTTGTAACACACAGCCAAGTTGTAACCCATTATGGGATGCCTTAAACAGGGTTCTCTTTTTTGCTTGTTTATCTGCATTGTTCCCAGTTATGTAATCCTAGTCCTGCTACATTGTTTACTGGATGTTGTACACGTCCTGTTTGAATTGTCTTATTTAGTAATCCACCTTGAGTCTCAGTGAGAAACATAGGCTATATATTAAGTAAATAAAATAAAGTGTTGTAACCACCATGGGTCCCCTAGAGGGGAGAAAAGTGGGGCATTAATGAAGTAAGTAAATCCCACTCTCTTTCTTACTCTTAGATTCTACAGGTATTAGCAATAGTGGTGTTTATGGGGGAGTTTGCTTGGAAGAATGGTACAAGGCCACCCCTCATTATTCTAGGCATTTCTTCCTTACTTCAGTCTTGTGAGTTCTATAAACAAGACTAAGGCTGAAGCTTTAATGGGTTATAGTATCTGATATTAATCGTGTTAACAAGTCCTTGGAGACTGTCTGTAAAGCTGATTTGAGGCTAGATTTGAGGGTAACAATGCTACTATAAAGGTATACAGATGTGCATTATGATTTTATTTATTTAAGTCTATTGATTGCCTTCCACTAAACAGTGCTCAAAGTGTTGTAAAAATGTAAACTTCCACTCACCTTTACACGTAAAGTTCAATAAAACCACACTTGGTTACAATAATGCAGCACCATAAAAGCTATTAAAAGAGACAACAGCACCCATCCTTCTTAATCTGAAGTAAAGGCCTTCTGGAGCAAAAAATAATAATCTGTTAATCCAGACCAGAAGGTGATGCATATTGCCACGTTGAGCTCTAGAGGAAGGGGCATTCCAAAATTTGGGGACAATTAAAATAAAAAACTTCCCATGGATCCTAGCCAGTCTGACTTCTGCTAAGGCCAGTTCTCATAGGGAAACCCCATGCATGGATCATAACACTCAGGACAGCTGCAAACATAACATCTTGTTGCAATTAAATTTCATCTTGTTCTCCCTCAACCATATGAGACTGGTCAAGGAAAGAGACAGCAGCATCTGGAGGATTGTTCAAAGAAATATATAACCCTAGGCCCCAGATTATAGGGACGACAGGAGTCAAAGGCTCTGCTTGGAAGCTTTCGGAGTCTTAGCCTTAGGCTGAGAGATGGATGAGAATTTTGGTTTGTGCCCATAAGGGCGGAAAGACACAGTGGGTGAGCATTGCCACTGTGTTTCCGGGGACGACTTAAGAGAGGATCTGCGAGACCATGGCTTGTTCCAGGATTTCGCTTTGGATAGTTTAGGAGCCGACGTGATTCCTAAATTCCGCGACATCTTTATACTTTTGTCTTGGTCTTACAGGACCGTATCAGTCGTGGCACTGAAAAGGCCCTCACCTTCGAATGGAAGATCCTCAGTGAGAGTCCTGGTGTCCTGCAGTAGGGCAGTAGAACGCAACCAGGCGTGACGTTGGAGCATAACTGCTGAAGTCAGCATTTTGGCAGCCGCATCTCATGTGTGCTTAGCTGCATTGAGCTAGTGCTTAGCCAAAAGCATTCCCTCCTGAATCCTGCAAGCCTGATGGTTAGTGTCCTCAGGGGGGGTTGCAATAAATTCAGACATTTGCTCCCAAAGAACAAAGTCAGATCTCCCCATACATACTGTATAGTTTGAGGTCTTGATGCCAAGAGCTCCCACAGAATAAAATTTTCTTCCAAATGAATCAAGTTTCTTTCCTTCTTTCTCAGAGGGGGTGGAATGACTGTGTCTGCCCTTGGAGGAAGAAGTGACTACAACAGAATTAGGTTTAGGGTGGGTAAACAGAAATTCAGTACCCTGCTCCTGCACTTTATACATATGATC